GATAGGGTTGTCTCTTTGTGTTCTTTTAAAAGACATTTTAGGGGTTGGGGTGGTAGAGTGCTTGCCTAGCAAGTAAGTGCAAGGCCCTGGGTTTGGTCCTCAGCTCCGAAAAAAAAAAGACATTTTAAAATCAGTCTTCTGAAGATAAATAAAATATCAAGTTCATTTGGAATCACTATGGAAAAGCGACACCCTATCATTTTGGGGAAATTGTGGCCCTCCGTCAGACTGCATGTGGCCTTTGTAGAGTTGGCTATATTTAGACTCCAATTACACTTCACTGTGAAATGTCATAGCATTCATTTTAACCAAGAAAACCTAAATGATCTTTCTTGTTAAAAAAAAAAAGAATGAGAGTCTGAGCTCTGACAACTCTGTGAGGCACAGGACCCCTTTGTGGCAGGAATAAAAGCTAAGCAGGACCCTCCTGGGGGTGCTCGCCTGCTTGATTTGGCATGGTCACACACCCTTCTGCACAAGTGAAATACTTTGGATTGTGTGGTAATTTTCTTGAGACCCCAGACCCATTTCTCACAGTGGGGAGGATGTGCTTGCTGTGTTCCCGGGAGGAGAGGCAAATCTTGCAGGACAGATCCAGCTCCATTAGCTCCCCAATCTCCTTTCCCTGCAGCCTATGGAAGTAGGGTTGACTGAACCTTGCCACCTAGCCAACGCAGTCCCGAGACCTTCTAACTTGGAGTTGCAGTGCTGGATCCAGAGCCCCCCGTTCAGTGGAAGGTATTGATAAAGGCCGCCCATTCAACTTGGACGTTCTCCACTGTGACCTCATGGCGTTTCAGTGCAGCCTCCACACAGCCTCAGATGTTGCTACTGCAAGTTGGGGATCTCACATGATTAGGCGAATGACAGTGAAGTTTCTCACAGGCCTACATTATACGCAGCAGGACTTCACGTGGGCGGTGGGCACGGCTACAGGGCACAGTCACAGAGCGGAGGCAGCCATGGGGACACTGGGGAAGGGTAAGACCGTCACTTTCTAATGCCTTAGTTTTAACAATAGAGAGCCTGGAAAGTTGGGATTTGATTTGGGGTGTGTTTGTGTGTGTGTGTGTGTGTGTGTGTGTGTGTGTGTGTACCCAGGTGCACATGTGTGTAGGCACATGTATGCCTTGGTGCATGTGTGGAGGTAAGAGGAAAACATTTGAAAGTCAGTTCTCTCTTTCTGTGTGGGTACTGGGAATCAAACTCAGGTTTTGAGACGTGGCAGCAAGTGCCTTTACCTGCTGATCTCACTGACCCATCTTTGTTTTCTTGATAGTATCCTTTCCCTTAAATAAGAAAACTTCAGTTTTCACAGAGTCCAGTTAACCTAATCGCTTCCTTTTCCCTCCCTCCCTCCCTCCCTCCCTCCCTCTCACACACCACTAAGGACAACCAAGGGCACTCAAAAGTCAAGTCAGTTGACTTCCTTCACCCTAATATTCCTTCCTTCCTCTCTCCCTCCCTCCCTCTCCCCCTTCTTTTGCTCCCTCCCTCCCTCTTTCCCTTCTTCCCTCCCTCCCTCTCTCCCTTCCTCCCTTCCTTCCTTCTTCCCTCCCTCCCTCCCTTCCTCCCTTCCTTCTTTGCTCCCTCCCTCCCTCTTTCCCTTCTTCCCTCCCTCCATCCCTCCCTCCTCTCCTTCTTTCCCTCCCTCCGGGAGCTGTGGGAGGGGCCACACACGGTCCCAGTGTATGGGGTATGTGTATGGAGTGATTTGGGGAAGCTCACCACAACATGGAGGCCAGATCCAGGCACTCTGCCAAGGTCTCAAAATTGTTTTCTTAATGCCAGTTTTTGATTGCTCATTGATAATATTTGATTGCTTATTGATAATATTTGATTGCTCATTGATAATATTTGATTGCTCATCATTGATAATAT